TCAAGACTGTGGTTATCGAGGATACGTACCTGGTTGATGACGATACTCTCCATTTGCTGATGTAGACAGATTGAGGTGCCACGTGGCACCTTGAGGAAGAACTTCAGACATTGTATTCAGTCTATTGATTGTTGAGGTGGCGAGGAGGAGGAACCCGAAGTAGAAGTGGGCTGTTGTCTTCTTCTCTCTCCTTTGTCTATTCTCCCTCTCTCCTCCTTCGTTTGTGCATGATTCTCACCTCATTCTATCATCACACACATTTGCGATTGTTTGTCATTTATCAGCAGATCCATAATCATATGGACTGGTAATGTTGACAAGTATCATCACGTCTGGACTCATTGCACCCTTCTCCTCCCTCCCCCCTGCTCCTTCCCTCCACGTTCATTCTGATTATTGTGGTAGCACGTGGCATGGTATTGTAGCACTGGCTGTGGAGACGTTTGTCTTGGCTCAGACTGCTCCACGAAAACCGGTCTGGTGCTCGGGAACGATGGATCTTCAGTTGCCGTGCCTCATTGTGGAGTTCTTACATTATCTGTTGTTTGAATGTCCCTGCTTAATCAAGGTAATCCACAATCTCTCCAAGTGCATTTTTTAAACTCCCCGGATGATGGCTGCCAGTGGAAGTGGCCAAAACGCAGCGTAGGGACGTGTGCACAAGGATGCAGCTGTCTTACGCTTTCAGATGAAGTTCCGGAAAAATTGGCTTTAGACTGCCATTTTATTTTCCTGAATCTCCACCGGACCACCTTCACTTTCTCCTTTCTCCCTTCTCCTTTCTCGGAAGTGTCTCCTCCTCCTCTCCCTTCCTTCTTCTTCTTCTTCTTCTTCGACGCCGTGCTCTCTCCCTTCCCTCCTTTTATTCCTTCTTTCTTTTCCTCTCTGAGACTCTCTCTTTACCTCTCTTGTTTTGTCCATTGTGTTATTTCTCGATTGTGCTATGAAGTTTGAACCACATAATATTGACGTTCCAAGCATATACACCATGAGAGTTCACACAAAATCCACACCAAAGCCCAGAGAAGGGGAGACCAGAATCTGATTAGCGCAGTTCATAAACTTCAATGTTCTGAGTTTTGAGTCACCAAGCGCTCATCAGCGCAACACCCAGCAACCTCAGCCTTTCTGGCCCCCCCTCTCTCTCTCTCTATATATATATATATATATATTTATATATATATATATCCAACGAGTCCGGGGTAGAAGACATTGACATTGAGTGTGTCACAATCACAGTGACTCTTGGGAATTATGCAAGTTGCTGTGGAAGACTGCACGGAGGAAGACCAAACTTACAGAGGAATTTCGGAGGAAAGAATGGCATTGTGCACAAGGATCAAGCGGATCAGCAAGATAGGTCTTGGAGTGGTCTCTCTTTTTTTTTTTTTTTTTTTTTTTTTTTTTTTTTTTTTTTTTTTTTTTTTTTTTTTTTTTTTTTTTTCGGGACAAAAAGCTCCAATCTATTCGTAGGGAGCAGCACGTGCTGGGAACCGGGCCCAGCATCCCATATAAGAATACACAAGTATTAAAGCACCGGGGCCATTACCCGGCTTCGAGCCTTCGGCTGAGAAAACTCTAAGAGAACTCTGAGATCAACTTGCACCAAGTACTAATGAAACAGCCTCGAAGGGGCTAATGGAAAAAAGACAGTCATTTTTGCCTTACTGAATTCAAAAGGGCCCTCATTGCTAGGGATGACCTTTCTCCTTGACAAGGTGGCCGTTTTCTGGAGGATCTAGCATCTTGGGGCCATCTGCTACCCCTTTTAATGACTAAGGCCTATAGGAACATATTACGGAAGAATGCAGAGAAAATGACTACCTGGTTCATGACGAGTAGGGGCTACACAAGAACGTATTTGAGGACAAATGCGGCCCAGTATTTTGCAAAGAATGAAGGAGACTTAGGAGAGGAGGAGAATGGTCGTGGAAACACTGGAAAGCTTCCGAAAACACTAGAAGATGGAGTATCACTGACCAGTGACCACCGCTTACAAGAAGACAAGAGGTATATCAGCAACTTGAAGATATTAAATGGTTTGATAATTAAGCGGGAGTGCCCAAGAACCGTACTCAATGAGTCAATGGACTGCATGGGCCACGTGCATCGCAACTACTCCAACGAAATTGAGTCCAATGCATGTGGTCATTGTGGTGAGCTCGCCGGGAGATGACAGGTCGAAGGATTCAAATTTTTTTCGATTCAGTTTTAAGATGGAGAAGATTCTCAATTGACTATAAAAAACCTTTTGGCTTTTTCTCTGATTAAACTCGGGGCGTCGTCGTGACATCACCTGGGAGCTGCGGATGAAGCCTCATCATGGAGGATTCAGGAGGAAGTCTCAGGAAGACATGAAATCACTATACGCCTGGCGGCCTGGGTACTGACTCAATGTTGTCAAGTAAGAAATGAGACTCTGTGAGAGTCAGTCTGCTGGAAAAGGAATACTTAAGGCATGGGGAACAGTCAAATTAATAAAGTCAACAAAAAAAGTCCAATCAATAAAGTCAACAAAAGTCAAATCGATAAAGTCAACAAAAAGTCAAATCAACAAAGTCAACAAAAAAGTCAAATCAATTCAGTAAAAAAAAAGTCAGATCAATAAAGTAAAAAAAAAAGTCAAATCAATAACTCGAGGCTCTGTCAGTCAACCTTGAAGAAAACTCTGAGATGGAGTTCTGCAGCAGCATCACATATTTGAGAATCCGCAGACTGTTTTAAGAAAAAAAAGGGGGGGGGGGGAAATAAAAAAAGGGAATGTCTCCGTCAACGGGCACGGGTGGCCCAGGGTGGGAGGTAGGTAGGTATGGATTCACAACATGTAGAGAAACAAGCAGTCCGGCATTAAAGCCTAGTATGCATAGACATTGCAAAAACACTCATGAAAGAATTGTCACAAGAGAAACGGTGTCCTCGACGCGTTTCGACGGCCGCCACGCCATCGTCTTCAGGAGGTTTGCCACCTGCTCACCCGTACTAACCATTCTCCCCCTTGCCCACTCCCGTCCGCTCGGCCCTCACGTGTCCGGACGCTAAGGGCATCACAAGACGTTAGTCCCTTCGAAGAGGCTTTGATCCTTGCAATGATTACATATATACTACCGCTCAGACTATGAAAAGCTACTCGTACCGGCAAAGTCGTCGTCCGGGCCGGTCCCACATCATAGCCAGTTGATCCTATTCCAAGTACCGGTGTCTGCAACGTACCGACAAAGATAGGTCCAGGTCTGACAATTTCAGCAAAGCTCTGTACCCGAAAGACCAACCGGTCTATACCCTGGTCCGACAGGAAAAAGCCAAATTAAACCAGACAACGAAAAGAGAAAAAACAAAAAAAACAGAAAAAACGACTAAGCACAGCTCTATCTGCACGGACCCCTTCAACCCTGTCCGAATACAACGCGACAAACGCGGAAGGATGTCTCTATCTGTACGGATTTATATCATCCTTGCCGGAAAAACCCTTGAACAGATGCTTATATCGTTACTCATTCATATGCAGCCCTTCCCAAATACATCCTACTCACTACAACATTTCCTATTAACACGAATATCAGTAATCAATCCTTTGTAGCCTGTCAGAATACAGCACATATACCGCGTATCAATTGATCGAATCTCCTACAATAACAGCATAAAAACACACAAGTCCTAATACCGCTACACCCTGGTTATGCCTGATCTCCATAACAACAACAGACGTATCAACGGTAATAGCCTACTACAGGTGGTGACATCCTTCACGTACTCCTACGCTATCAATCTCATGGTGCAACAGGAAAACAAACGTAACTAATCCGTCAACAATTTCACTGTAAGTTGTCAGACGTCATCCCTTCTGAACACGAATCGCTTCAGTACTTGCATAAAGAAACGATCCGGAATGTCATTTTTTGACAGTTCCTTCTTCAATGTCCTCACCCTCCTGGGGATCTTATGACGGGCCGTGGTGTTCTGCTCAATGCGATGGAGGCGGCTACAAATGGTCGCGCTCTTCTGCTTCTTACATCCTCATGAGAGGTAAGACTGGCCACATTGGATTCGTAGTGGCCCTTCCGTCCAGACACAGTCCTCATTCTTCGACGTCTGTACACAGCTAAGGTACGGGTAGCTCTGTCTCGTCCGTACCTCACAGCCCAAAAATTCAAAACAGCCCAATCCCTCATCAGTGCGCTTCAGAGTAAGCGCAGCGGGATAACATTTCTGGAAAAGATCCAGAATCCGAGCCCTTCTCGGTTCCTTGACTGCTAAAGTTAGCATTACATCATCAACCAGCCTAGTACCGTGTACCAGGCTAGAGTCCGCGTCGATGCTCCGCACAAAACGGTATTCAGAGTATGCGCACAGAATACAGGCCAATGGTGGACTTGTAGTCTTCCCCATAGGTATCCCATGGCAACCACTTGCTGGAGCAGGACACCTGTTGCGAACGTATAAGTATGTTGTAACTCCAACAACACGAACTCCCTCATTTGCGTAAAATCCAAGGATCGCCAGTGGTCGGCTCCTGTCGTCCTTCCAAAGGAGGAGCCCCTGCCCCGAGTATTCACTCGTACCGATACCCGACCCTTCCCCCTATGAAAGTCCAGCAGCCAATCGACAGCGGCCATAATGTCTTTGTGTGGGAGTCCACTGAACATCTCCTTTATGTCAAAGGAGACAGTAAGCACCTCATCACCCGCGTCCAACCTCAAGATCCTCCTATTGACCTCCCTTACCCTGCTGGCAAGTCCAGAGACAGACGTCAGATTGAAATGCCATCTCCTCGGCAGAGTCTTCAACAGGTGGTTCATGCCTTTCGATACTGCTCGTCCCGTCCATACCATGGCTTCCATAAAGGTGGGACAGATTGGCCTATACCTGCTCACGTCCTTCTGCTTCGGGATGACATACGCAGATCCGAAGTCGCCGTCCTTATCCCATCTAGCAAACTTCGTCAATCCTCTTATTGCTACGTCTTCCCTGATTTCCCGTAGCACTTCCTTCGACGGTGTCTCGATGATTTTGTAGCCAAGGCTCCTAACGAAAGTGACCATCATTGCCTCGAAATACAGGGAAGGACAAAGTACTAGCGTCTCTCTTGGGTTGCGATCGAGAGGAGTAAGTACTAATCCCTGAAGTTTCAGCTTCAAATCTCTCACATGTGCGGTCGTCAACTGACCCTTATCCAGTGCACAGCTGCCCATGCACTTATGCAATTCCTCGCGTGCTATGCGCGACAGATCCCCTCTCCAGTTCCTCCACTGACTAAACCCATTCCTTAATTCCTCGTGCAACAGCTCAATTCTGTCATCCCTCACGACACGAGGTACATTCTTCGCATTACGTAGCAGGGGGTGCAACCCTTCGATTTCACTGAGCCGGAAACGGACATGCCCTTCTGATCTCGGGAAAGGCAGGTCTGCACAGGTGCAGACAAGCACATTACGAGATGCAAACTCTCGCTGGTTGTGCGTAATGTCCACGACCGCCGAATTTTTAACCCAGACGATCCGGACCTTCTTCCGTGTCCTATTCAGAAAACACTTGGGTAAGTCCCCGCTCATCAGCGCGTCGTTAATCACCTTTCGAACCTCTGACACACGAATCCTATCATCAAATTTGAGACGAAAAACAAGATCAGCACTCATATTGAGATCAAAACGATCCAAAAATATCCAGGAGACTAACCGGCGTAGATATTTCCTAGTCGACTTACGACTAAAGTCCTTGATGGCCCTATACAGTCGTAACAACGATTTGAGATTCCAGTCCCGAACATCATGCATTTTCCTTGGGTTCCTGAGGATACCCATCAAAATAGTCTTCAAGTATCGACACCTTGGCTTCCATTTCCACCAGTGAACGATGGTAACTACTCCTCCTTCCTGTAGCTTCTGCTTCGCATCCTTCAAGGCCAATACCTCACCGTCAACCCGGATCTTAGTATCCCCGAAAGCTCGCTTAATCTACCTCCACCCACCTTGCCATGTATTCCCACCATCAATAGTGATACTAGTATTAGCACATGCATCGGATAGCGCATCGTTCAAAACTTGGTAAAAATCTACGTGCCACGGTTCACTATCTCACCTTCGAAATCTTAAGGCCTTACAGTCCGTTCGACTACTGCAGGTATGTCGGCCCTTCAAACGTTCCCTCCTCCCAGGTTTCGCTTTACCTTTCCTCCCAGCTTTCCGAGCCCCCGTAGTGTTCAGGAATGACGACCATTGCCTAATATATACATCCTCCAACTTGACTAGATCCTTACCCTCGATATGATCGATAGGTAACAACACATAGTTGCCAACCCCGAACGACAGCATCCACCTGTGAAAATGCGAAGGGACCCTCGACCTGCATACACGCATATGCTCGCGCCATCGGATCGTGACACATCTACTAGTCTTACCCACATAGCAGTGTTTGCAATATGGAGATACGCCAACATATACGACATTTGTCAACTGTAGGAATTCAATCCCATGTCTATCATACAGACGCTCCCATGTCGGCACGTACCACTGCATCCATCGAATTTCTCCTGCTAGTGAAAGACGTAGCACGATGAGCCTCAGAATCTCCTCAATACGTCCATCAACGCCAGTCGACTCATTACGTAAATACGTAAAGAACTTACATAGTTTCCACAACTGCGGTATCTCCCAGACCCATTAGTTCTTCTGTTCTTCCTGCTGCACGTCCCCAGTCTCACTCTCACCAACATCAATGACTTCATTCGTCTCGGCAATATCTAGTTCAAACTTCTCCCGAGTACGACTATCAGCAATTGCAAAGATAGCCCCTACCTTCCCATCGTACAAGACGCCTTCCTCCTTGCATATGCGTTGCAATTCCGTTGCATCGCAATCCTTCAATTCCTCCATCACATCATTTCGGAATCGCAGGCGCTGTAATGCTCCCTTCGTGGCAGGTGTGATCGCGAGCGCAGGCGACTTCCTCGGAGTGGCCTTCCGTGGCGTCTGTGTGTTTTTTACTCGATTGGACAGCGGCGTCTTCACTAGAGAGATTCTCTTAACGGATCCAGGGTTCTTCACCATCGCCTTAGACCTTGTCATTCGTGTCGTCAACAACACTGGCTTAAGAGCTCCTCGTTTAGGAGTCTGTTTCGGTGGTGCCTCCATGGGGAGGCTGTTCTCAAAGACTGGTTTAGGCCCTCTTTTTCGTTTCTCCAAGATGCATAAGCGTCCAGCCTTTGCACTCAGCTCCTGTGTGACGCTAGTGTCGCTGACCTCGTCCTCCGGTTCTTTCGATGAACCGCCTGAAGCGTAAGTCACCTTCTTCTTTCCGAGTCTGACTAACTCCCTCAACGGCCCAATCACACTCTCCACCCTGCATGCCATATTATCCTCCAGTTCACTTAGGCGTATGGCAAGCTGAATCTCATTATCCTTCTTCATTTCAGCACGTCTCTCGGCTTCTAACTCCAACTCCTTCTGGTGCTTCTTCATTCGCTTCTTTTCCTTCCGCTCGGCACGCTCCTTCTCTTCTGCTTCGCGTTCTGCAGCCTCCTTCCTTTCCATTCAAATCCTCTCCTTCTCCAGCTTCTTCAATCTGGCTTCCTCGTAGAACTCCTTCATTGCCGCTACTGATCGCCCAAGCTCAGCTACAGTCCCTTGGATTTCATGCGTATTCCTCGGAGGTGAGTCGAGTCTCCTTCTGTAGTCCAAGCGTCTTGGGGATCAATTTCCTCTTGAATCTGCTGATGTAGACGGACGATCTGACCCATACCTCCTTCGATTTCTCTCAGGGCACTGATTCGCGTAGTGCCCAGGTTCGTGACAATTGAAGCAAGTCGGTGCTCGATATCTCCTCCTGTCCTCTTCGTGTCTCTCATCTGGTCTACGTACGTCCGTCCTCCTATCCTCGTTTCGGCGGTCATCGCCACTTCGTCTGTCATCCTCCCTCCGCTCGTTGCTCGACATCCTTCTTACCGTGTGCGCCGGGCACGTGATACGTCTAGAAGCGGCGTCATCACTACGCTGTATCAATAGCAACCCAATCTTCAACCCTACCCTCCGTAAACCGTCCTCAGTCTTCCTCGGTCTTCACTCATCACGGTGCAGGTAACTCACTCGTCACGGTGCAGGTAACTCAGTAAAGTCAATGCAGTTCCCTGACACATATATACATGTCTTGCCAGGTACATACACGGTCACTCCACCCGGCAAAGTTGACTTCCAGGTAAGTTAACGTGCGCAGTCCGTAGGTATGGATTCACAACATGTAGAGAAACAAGCAGTTCGGCATTAAAGCCTAGTATGCATAGACATTGCAAAAACACTCATGAAAGAATTGTCACAAGAGAAACGGCGTCCTCAATGCGTTTCGACGGCCGCCACGCCGTCGTCTTCAGGAGGTTTGCCACCTGCTCACCCGTACTAACTAACCATTCTCCCCCTTGCCCACTCCCGTCCGCTCGGCCCTCACGCGTCCGGACGCTAAGGGCATCACAAGACGTTAGTCCCTTCGAAGAGGCTTTGGTCCTTGCAATGATTACCTGTATACTACCGCTCAGACTATGAAAAGCTACTCGTACCGGCAAAGTTGCCGTCCGGGGCGGTCCCACATCATAGCCAGTTGGTCCTATTCCAAGTACCGGTGTCAGCAACGTACCGACAAAGMTAGGTCCAGGTCTGACAATTTCAGCAAAGCTCTGTACCCGAAAGACCAACCGGTCTATACCCTGGTCCGACAGGAAAAAGCCAAATTAAACCAGACAACGAAAACAGAAAAAACAGAAAAAACAGAAAAAACAGAAAAAACGACTAAGCACAGCTCTATCTGCACGGACCCCTTCAACCCTGTCCGGGGTGGGAGCTTCAACAAAGAAAATAGACTTGTTTTTTTCCTTCCTCTTCTTCTTTTTTTTTTTTTTTTTTTTTGAAACAGTGCTGGGAGCATTGCCCAGTGTTGCTTACGCTGACTATGCCCCGGAGGGAACCAACCCCCTCGTAAAAGAAAGCCACCATAAGAAAGTAGGCTTACAAAGGAGCCCCAATTTTTCTTAGCCAAAGCTGGACAATGGGCCCGGTATCTCAACTTTCAAAATTGTATGTAAATTTCCATATGGGACGCTGGGCCCGTGCTGCTCCCCAAGAATAGATTGGAGCCTTGTTCCCATTAAAAACAAAAAAAAAACAAAAAAAAAAGGGCTTACAGCAGTCCTGTAGAAGTTGCTGGTGGAGACTTGGGGAGCTATGTGACCGTTTGAACGCGGTGAATGTGCGTTCGCATTCGAACGGCCGGGGCCGCGTTCAAACGCGCTATGCGCCACATGGCGTGAATTTGTTGAACGCGACCCGCCCGTCGGCATGCGCGCCTGGCGGACTATTGGG